TAACCCATTCCGTGCAATGAAGAATATTTACTAATTATTTCAATAATTTTAACGTAACCCATTCCCGGTGAATTTCATAAGGGAAATATTATTTTTACATTTAAGTTTAAGATGAAAATATAATATACATAAATAAAAGTATATAATTATTTTTTAATTTTCTTTTTTACCATACTTTATACCTAAGTTCACTGGTCACTTCACGGTTAGAATATCATAAAGAGATTTAAAACACAACCTCTTTCCATATGCGATGCCTTCATGCATTTATATAAAGGTGTCATACATTAAATTTTGATAGTAACTCACTCTCATTTGAATAGATAAGATCAAAGAGAGACTCTTACTAGAAGCAATTCCAACCCTACTTTTTATCACTACCTCTCTTTTCTATATCAATAGTTCTATCACCATGACTGAACCCTCTTCAACCTTAAATGTTGAGGGACAGGTTCCACCACCTACCTCTCTCCTAAAGATGATCGTTGTGGCCTCTATCGCCGCCGGTATTCAATTTGGGTGGGCCCTACAACTCTCACTTTTGACCCCATATGTCCAGCTATTGGGTGTCCCACACGCTTGGTCTTCTGTTATATGGCTTTGTGGCCCAATTTCTGGTCTCGTTGTTCAACCCACCGTTGGTTATTATAGTGATCGGTGCACGTCCCGTTTCGGTCGCCGTCGTCCCTTCATCTTAGGGGGTGCTATAGCCGTAGCCATATCCATTATCCTCATTGGATTCGCGGCGGATTTCGGCTATAGCATGGGCGATGACCTCAACAAGAAGACCAGACCACGTGCCGTGGGCTTCTTTGTTGTTGGGTTTTGGATCCTTGACATGGCCAATAACATGCTCCAGGGACCTTGTCGGGCATTCCTCGGAGATCTCTCCGGGGGAGACCAGCTTAAGATCCGCACTGGAAATTCTGCTTTCTCTTTCTTCATGGCTATCGGGAGTATCCTTGGATATGCTGCTGGGTCTTACGGTAAACTTTACAAGGCGTTCCCTTTCACAAAAACCAAGGCTTGCAATGTTTATTGTGCAAATCTTAAGAGTTGCTTTTTCATTGCTATTGCACTCTTGCTCATTCTTGTCATTATTGCATGTGTTTACGTCAAGGAAATACCCTTGACGTCAACAGACACTATTGATGATGAGGACGAAGTGAAAACTCCATGTTGGGGACTATTTTTTGGCGCATTCAAGGAAATGAAGCGTCCAATGTGGATGTTATTAATAGTGACATTCCTGAATTGGTTCGCATGGTTTCCATGGGTGCTTTACGACACAGATTGGATGGGTCGTGAGGTGTATGGTGGTAGTGTTGGAGATAGTATGTTTGATAAGGGTGTTCATGATGGTTCATTAGGTCTTATGTTAAACTCAATTGTTCTAGCAGTGATGTCAGTGGCCATTGAACCATTGTCTCGTGTTCTTGGAGGAGTGAAGAGACTATGGGGATTGGTGAACTTTATTCTAGCCATTTGTTTAGCAATGACTGTGCTCATTTCTAAGGAGGCTAGGGCTCACCGCCATTTCTTGATTAGTACCGGTGCAAAAGATAATGGTCCGCCACCTAATGTTAGGGGTGGCGCTTTGGCTTTGTTCTCTATTCTTGGCATTCCTCTTGCGGTAATTATTCCCTTACCTGATTTAAACAATTTTTTAAGATAAAAAGTATTTGTCATTATTATAATTTTGACGCTAGATTTTTTATATTTTATACTATTATTGAGTACTTTATTATATTAATAATAATGTTTATGTTTTTTACTTTATCTTTTTCCTTATTATATTATAAACACTCAACTTTCTAAAGAAAAAAAAAGCCATAATTTGCATGAATTTTGTCATGGAAATTAATGTGAGTTAAATATGTTGACGATGAGCTGACAATATTCTGATCGTACTAAACTAATATTTTACTATTTTTAATATTATATACTTATTTAATATTGAATTATACTATTTATAACACTTTGGAATTTTGAAATCATTTCCTCTTTTATTTTGTAAATGTTAAGAAATATGTTTTGGATAAGCTTTAAGTTATGTGAATTTATTATTTCAAATGATTTCATCTATCTGTTTTGTTTCCTTGTGGAAGGTATTCTAGATCAGGTGGGCCCACACATTCAATATTCATAAAAAAAAATCATGACAAAAAAGCATAAGAAACTAATATTCATGTTCCTTTATACTATCAGTCTATCTTATAATTAATCAATGATTGATTCTCCTATACATTTAATCAGAAAAACATAAGAAACTAACATTCATGTTCCTTTGTGTGCAGATCACTTACAGTGTACCATTTGCTCTAGCATCAATATACTCCAGCACCTCAGGGGCAGGCCAAGGTAAGAACTCATAATCCATTACAATAAGCAAATTTTATCAACTATGGGTCAATTCATATATAATATATCCAACCATAAACCGATTTAAAATATATTTCTAACCCTTCTTGTTAAAAAATATTCAGGTTTATCTCTGGGAACTCTTAATCTTGCCATTGTCATTCCACAGGTTAGGATCCATCCATTTGCTTCATATTCATAATGACAGAAATGTAAACTTAAATGATATAGTAAAAAAATATGATTGATTTAAAGTTTATGTTAGACTTTTATTTTATGAATTGTTTGACAAATTATGTGTACATGTATATATATGCAGATGTTGGTGTCAGCAATATGTGGAAAAATAGATGAGGCATTTGATGCAGGGAATTTGCCGGCGTTTGTGATGGGTGCAATATCCGCCGCCATCAGCGCCGTATTGGCATTTGTATTGCTTCCAACTCCTCACCCACAAGATATGGCCAAGGCTGCAACAGTTGCTGGAGGTTTTCATTGATTAATGATGGAGCTTCCCACCTTTTATTCCTGTTTTATTTTGCTTTTTTTATATATATCTGGGAATAAAATGTATGAGTTTATCACAATGCTTTCTCTGATCGCATTGTTTGGAAGCTTAGTTAAGCGTGAAAGTGTTGCTCATCATACAAAAGGATTATGCCCAACGCAACAACTAGGTTCGGCGAGATTTTGGTTGAAAGGAAAAACCAAGCTAGCCTATGTACTCAAAATTAGCTTCAGTCAATCTTAACTATTTAAATTCAATGTATCTAATATAACTCTTTTATATAAACTCTATTATTCCATTGTTTTCCATGACTATTCTTTTATCTAATGCTTATTGTTTGAAATGATCAATCAAATTATGATTTTAAGTTTATAATGAACTTTTTACGTTTGAATTGAATATAGAGCAAGACATTTAGTTTAGTATTAATTATATTATTAAGTTTAATTCAACTAGTCTTAAAAAGTCGAACTTATTAAGATTGAAAGATTAATTCTTCAAGGGAATTATCTCGGTTGTTGATGTGCTGATTGACACATTGATAAATGAATATAATTGGTGTTGAAAAATTTACAGGTTTAATTATTTTCTTAAAATTACAAAATGAGATATTTAAAGATCGAATAGTAAAGTCTAATCTCACATTTTTCACATTAAATAATATTCCAAAAACTTTTCTTACCACCCAAGCACTTCTTTTACTATCTCCGTTTGATTAATTCATAAATCAATTTGCCTGTTAGTATTCTTCATCCTTTTGTAAATAGTTTGAAATTCAAATTATTTATTTGTTTATTTTAGAATTATGCATTTAAAATTGTAGATAGTATAATCAACATTCACCCCATAAATTAATTTTGTCTTTTGTCATTCTTATAATTTCTCTCCCTTAAAATGTTCATCAAAATTTTTATATAAGAACTAGCAAATAACCCGGGCATTTGCACGGGGTAATATTTTTGCCGTATGATTAAAAATACACATTACATGTGTATTCATATGATTAAGAACGCATGTGTTATTTGTGCATTTGGATGGTTAAACACACATGTTACATGTGCATTCGTATTGTTAAGAACACATGTGATCAGTGCAATAACATGGTTAAAAACACACATGTTATCCATACATTCACACTGCTAAGAACATGCATGTTACCTGTATATTTTTGTAGTTTTTTTTATTGATTTTCATATTCTATAATCTATATATTTGGGTAACTAATAAATAAAATAAAAACTTATATTGCTAATTCTTAATATACATGTACATATGGAGAACTTGTTTAATTTTATGATATTATTGTTATTATTTCTTAATTTAACTTGTTTATAATTTCTTTTATTTCTTGGATATCATTTTTTATTAATTGTGTAATTGATTTATTATTTAGTATTTTTTTTAAAGTATACAAATGGGACATTGTAATTATTACTTATAATTTTTTTGAAATAAATATGAGTTTAACCATTTAGTATGAAAACTTCGAAAATAATATTTTAATATATAAAAATAAAATTTTAGTAATAAATGATAATTGAAATATGATAGTTGTAATTACTTAGTTCAATTCTTTTTCAAAATATTAGAGACCTTAATTATTTAGGATCACCGATCTCACCAATAAGCACCACATTAAATGACAATATCTATTTTTATTCTCTTAGACATGTTTATCAGTTTTATATTTTAAACAATAGATTTTTATTCTCAATGAACCCAAATGAATGCGATAACATAAGCAACAAATATATTTTAAACAATAGATTTTTAAAATCATTGAATAAAAAAATAAAATACAAAACCGTAAATAACTAATCATGATTCTTACCTTATTTCATAGTAGAATATACTTCAAGTGTTTATGAAACATGCAAAACAAAAAATTAAATTAGTGATTCTATGTATAAAAAAGTGTATAAATAAAATAAGATTAAAAGAGATAAAACTAAAGTGTAGATGTGCTAGAACGGAGAACCAAGCTACAAATAAAAAGAGAAAATGTTAAGAACGAAATAAATATATCAATAATAAAAACAAACAAATGGAATATTGCAACTGAATGCATATATATATATATATATATATATATATATAATGAGATTGAGTACATACCACATGTTTTGAAGGTTTGATCGTTCTTTATGATGATATCATTGCTTATCAAACGCTAACGGAGAGAACGGTTGGAAGAACATATCTAAAAAATAATGAAATCACTAAGAACACTAATAAAAAATAAAGAAATCAATGAAAAAGTAAACCAAAAAAATAGTTGGAAGAGAAAGATTGTTGAAGAGAAATGTTGTTTGAAGAGAAAGAGAAAAACATATATTTTGTGATGATAACAAAGTAAATTCTGCGAACGAATTGTAGAAATATGAAAGAAATGAACAGATAGGAGATAGATGAAGGGGTAAGGGTAGAAGAAATGAAAGGAAATGAGAAACATAAAGAAAAAACATGTTGAATGTGAAAATGGATTTCAATCTCCTCTAATTGTTAAAATATAAAATGTAGAAAAAATGAGGATGTAGTGTGGGAAGATACATAATAGTAATATAAACCACTTTAGGAGGGAAAAGAATTAATGAGGAGATGACATGCGGCAAGAGGAACCTTATTTTCTTATATAGTATATAGATTTATCTTATAAAAAACCATCCCTAATAGTAACAAAAGAACGTATACAGTACAACATCAATTTTCACAATTAAATATAGTCCAATTTATTTCTAATATTTATCAATTTTAGGATTCTATCATAACAATACTAATTAAATTTACATTCGTTGCATATTTTTTTATCACTGAAATCAAGGTTATGATGGCCAAGTCAGATCGTCCAATTATCACTCGACAGTTTGTACGTTCCTATACCATCCAATAAATCGGGATCTATTCCAAATCATTTTTGATCGTGTTAAATCTGATATAAGTGGGTTAGACTGGGATAAACTGGAATAACCAGTTTGGTTAGAGCGGTCTGTCCAACTACAAATTAAAAAAAATCAAAGTTCATAAATTAGAAGAGGGTAAGGGAAAACAAAGGGGAGAGTGACACAAATTAATAGAAATTGTAGAAGATAAAAAACCTAGCCGTCAGAAGAACCATGCTTCACGCTCACAATTGTCGCCTATCGTCGTCTCTTGTCATTGTCGTGTTGTCACTCGTTGCGTTGCTTATCCATTAGTTTCTACCTTCTACTACTTGATTAGTTTCTAATCCAGTTTCTATAGAATCCACCAGTAAAGATGACTTATCATGGAACTACAACTGACATCATTGTTGCATGTATTGATAATATGATTGTGAATATGAATCTATCTGTTTTATGAGCTTTGAGAGATATTGTTTTGTGGGACTGCATATAGTCTTAAGAATCGGACAATATTGACTAATTACATTGATAGACTCCAATGTGTTTGATGTATATCTTGCAAACCATTTGTTTAATTTTTGTATTAACAATGTTAAATTGTTAGTTGAGTGGATGTGTTAAATTGTTATGTTTGGTGTTGGTATAACATTTGTGTTAATGTTGGTATAAGTTTGTGTTAATGTTGGTAAATTATTATAATATTAGATATGGTATTATGATACTGTTTGGTCTTATTTAGTGGTCAAACTAGTTAAATCGATTAAAACTTACAGGAGATCTTTTCTAGGTTGTTTCTGATTCAGAATATATATTTTATCCTATGAAGGCAATGGTGGTATATCTTTAGTTAAATATAATTAGTTTGTTACAGTATAAGAGTAAAATTGATAAAGATTAGGAAAGACAAATGACTAAATGGATAATTTTATTTTATTAAAGAACCAAATTAAAACTATAATAAGATAGAATTTTTTTATATTTAATATTTTGATCTAAACCTCTTGTATCCTTCACCAACTAGAAACAATCATGGGCCAACTAGGTAAAACCACATGGGTAGCAAACTTTATTTTCAGAACTTCAGAGTCTTCCCATAAAAAATGTACGTCCTTGTTTTATTATTTATAAGAATTGGCTTTGATATTTAAAAAATGACGATTCATCATGGCAACACTCCTTTTATAATTATTAAATATATCTCACAATTTAAACTTAATTTCATTTCATTTAGTATTTATTCTACTATTAAGGTCTAGATATCATTTGTTTTAAGATTTGGAGTTGCTAATTTTTCTTATTGTCATGTGGAGATATATATATTCCTTACGGTTTATGCCTTAACCTATGAAATGAGTTTCATTCGGAGAGTAATTTCTTTTACATGTATGAGGGTATATATAACAAATTTATCATGATCTTAGGTTAGACATTTTGTATATGTCCATAACTAATTTTATCTTGCCTAATTTTTTTAAAAATAAAAAATAAATGATGAATGGTTACTCTGATAGTTTTTCTGATTTTTTAGAACCAAATAAATATTTTTACTCATTTATTGGTACTTTTTTGGATTTCATAAAGCTACTAATAGATTTTGTTCAAAAAAGGCTGGTACTTTTTTAAGTTAAATGAAGTATTTTAACCTACAAGGGATATTATAAATATTATTGGGACTTTGCCAAATAAATAAAATATATTTTATTATAAAATCACGTATAAAAAGAAAAAATGAGACATGTGTCAAACAATGAGCAAATTTAAGGAGATAAGTTATTTTCTGGTACGAGAAAATATTTTATTCTCTTTTAACTATCTAGATGTTTTTGAACCATAACACCACCATGTAACTCAATTGGGGTGAAATTCAATCTGACTAGAATGTGACTCAACTACAGGCATGAAGATATTTAAGGATGATTTCATGGTGCCTTGAAAGCATTTTAATCACTGGCTTAATTGCAAAAACAATTTGGATTCTATGTGTTGGTCGGTTTCTAGAAGGAAATATATGTGTTGATAGGCTAGCAAATTATGGGATTGTCTCCGAATCTTACACGTGGTGGAATGAATTACCAAAACTTCCTCTCCGAAAAGCATGCTAGAAACAAATCTGGTCTTCCTAACCTTAATCTTGTCTGCTTTGTACTGTTATTTTATCTAATATATTGGTGGGGTGTAGTTGCACATTTTGTCTAAAAAAAGATTCTTAAACACCACTTATAAATTTTTTGGTAATCGGTTAATTTGTTTTAATTAATACATTAGTTTTAATAATCATCAAATAAAGAGGTTACAAAATAACTTATATAAATAATTGGAGAAAAATAAAAAATAGAGGGGGAAAGAGATAAAAAAATCAAGGAAAAAACAAAAGAGAATCGACCATAAAACATAGAAAATTTCATAAAATTGACTATGTGGGTGAAAACTCTAGTTCAATGACCATATTTTTTAAATTGGGTATAAAAGATAGTGTTCTACATTTTGATCATAAAAAATATAGTGACAATTCCAAATCATATGAAAAAGAGAGAAATCTCATTTCTCTTTCCTCCTAGTTGATGTAACTATTGTTAATTGAAATATGGTTGTGATAACAAGTAATGTTGAAAATGTGTTAGGATCATTATTTTAATTAGTCAAATAAAATTAACTAATTGAATTAAAGGTTATGTATATAGTTGTATATACAATTTCAATCAAAAGTGTATCATAAGCCTTTCTCCTTAAGCATTGATCTTAATGGTAGTGTGATTCAACCTTTTCCATTCCATTTTAGTTTGGAATATGTGATTGTTATTTGACATTCAATACTTTTATACTTAAAATTTTTATCAAGATAGAGATAGTTGTATTCTTTGTCATGCATAATCAATTTTCAGTAAATTTATATTTTATTGCTTTGCTTTTCCACATAGACCTTAAATTTTTTATAACTCCTAATATTTTTGTTCTTTTCTTTAATAAAGTAGCCACATGTCGTTATAGAGAAATCATCAATGAAAAGTATGAATTCCTTTTGTTAGTTAATAATGGTTATGGGTCCACAATTAATGATAGTGTGAATAAGATCCAATGTGTGTTTTGTTCTTCAATCTTCCCCAATTCGAAAGGATAGTATATATTGCTTGGAAAATAGGAATCCTTTACATTCTTATTCATTCTCTTATACATTAAAAATGCAAGTATGCATCAACACATTGTTTTGATGAAGACAAGAATAATTGACAAACTTAAAAACATGAGCAACTCAACAAACAACAAGACTAAGACTCAAGATCAATCAAGTAGATTTAGGTTAAATTTTTATATTTCTAGAGTCTTAAGATGATTGATTGGGTAGAATATAGGCTAGGTGAACCTTGAATGAAAGTCTCACAAAGTCTAAAATGTTAGATTATTTCAGCAATAAAGTGGTCCATGTGTTTAGAAGTTACTAGTTTGAATTAAAGTGCCTAATGTGATGATGGTTGGTAATTCATGAGTCAAACTAGTGGGGGTTATGAGTAACTCCCTCCCCTCTCACTTCATAGGAAGTTTTCCATGTTAGAGACAACTCCTCCTATTCTCCTTCTATAAGAGAGACATTCACATATTAGAAAAATTAGGCCATTATTTGATATCTCATAACCAGAAACACAAAGAGAGAATTCAAAGCATTAGTGGCTGCATTAAGGAAAGTGTAGTGTCATATAGAGAAGGAAGAAAACTGAGTTCCTAATAACGCATAAAGGGATGGCGGAGAGGTGGGAACGAAGTCAACCAGAACGTGCACTAGAAGATATATCGCTATGGAACCAGATATTTCTCAATCTCTTTATTTATCACATGTGAATGTCATAATGTCAAGATCCTAATTAAAGGGTTCTTATGAACCATCAAAGGCTCATGAAAGATATGTTATAAAAGAATAACAATTGGTATCAGAGTATCAGGTTATGGACATTATAACATTCCTTGTGTTCCTGGAAATGAATCATATGTATTTAATAATGGTGATACTGTGGTGCTCTATAAACAAAATAATTTTCATGTTGATATAACCCACATGCGTACAAAGGTGATTTGCTATATTTATTCAATGATATTGGATATATAACATGTTTGATTTTGGTCCACAAAACACTGCACTTTCTAATTCGGTGGAACCAGGATTTTAAAGGAAACATAAACTATAAACCTTGACAAACAAAGATGATTTGGGTTGGTAATGGAACCAAGATTTTAATTTGGGGTCTTCTTCTGAGTTTATAATAATTCATTCATCAAAATAAAAAGTATAGAAACTTTGAAATAAAAGTAACATTTTTTTCTGCAAAATGTTCTCATGTAAAGGTATTTTATTATGTGACCGCATTTCGTGATATATGCGGTTTTAATATAAACAGAATAGAGTCTGGTTCATTATTTTGTTTAATAGAAACTTTATTGGTGCATTATTCTACTAACCAGGATGGTTCTGTATGTATGTTGCAATTTGCAACTCCTTTTGCTTCCGTTCATGAAATTGAAAATTGTGTCAATATTAATTTTGTTTATTGTTCATTATATGATGCATATTTTGATCACCCAAAGGTGGATCATTGCATGTAACTAAGATTATGATGTCATAAGGATAATTAGTTGGGTTTGTTCATTAAATCATAACGCATATCATGATCACCCAAAGGTGGATTATTGCATGTATTTAATGACATTAAAGTTTTAGTCATATTTGATTGTGCTTGTTTATCCAAAGATAACATGTATGTTTAGAAAATATGATTAATTACCATTAAAGAATAATATGAGACATCATTAGTAGGTCTAATGCATTTAAATTTTATCCAAAGATAAATTAAGTGCATTGATAAAAGTTTAGTTTGAATCCATAAAGGTTTATTCAAAGCACTGAAGTGTGAGCATGTCTTATTTCAGCTTCGTTCAATGCATTCGCCTTAGGCAATGGATGTGTCAAGTTCAACGGACTGAATTATGCTGATTGGTCCGAACAGATCCAATTCTCACTGGGTGTAATGGAGTTGGACTTGGCCATCATTATGGATAATGTGCCAACCATAACTGAGACCAACTCGGAGGCAGACAAGACTCTATATGAGGCTTGGGAGCGGTCAAACAGGTTGAGCCTTAGCTTGATGAAAATGTCAATCTCTGACAATGTCAAGCCGTCTATGCCTAAGACGGATAATGCAAGGGAATTTATGAGAATGATCAAGGAGTACTCCGAATCAGACATTACTGATAAGTCTGTGGTGGGAAATCTCATGACAGAGCTGACGACCAATAAGTTTGATTGGTCGCAACATATTCATGATCATGTAACTAGCATGGCAAATCTGGCTGCAAAAATGAAAGGGATGGGAATGGAGGTGACAAAAGCATTCTTAGTACAGTTCATCAT